GTACGACACCGACACCGATAAGGCCAGCCCTGAGGATCCTTGTCGTCTGGCCGAGGAGCAACCTTAACGGGAGGATCCTTGGGGCTGGCCTTATCGGTGTCGTACACGGGGAACCGAAGCTTGGCGCTGTACAGCATTGGGAAAGCGGAGGAGGGGTCCATGGAAATCCGCGTTGCTGAGCCGACTTTGAATTGCCCCACCGTCACCCCAGCGAACCGACAAGTGATGAAATGTGGCAGCGAAGCTGGATCCACGTTCTCAAACGTGACACGGTGGCCGAATGCGTGGCTGGTCTCCAAGCTGCCGAGGATAAGCTCGTCGATCTGCACTATGACTATTCCCTGGCCGGCTGTGTTGATGCCCGCGACGAAACTGCCATAGCGGCTGGGCGCGCCGGCAAAGAGCCGGTCCTCATTGGTTGCCACGGGGCCGGCCGTAAACGTCAGATGACAGGTGACGCTCCTTGTTGAATCCCTACGTTTTGCAAATGCGTCAGTTGGGGTGCGTTATAAGGTGTTTAAGGTAGACGCGAGCGGTGATTCACATGGGGGAAGACATGTGTGCTTAAGCGGCTAAATATGCGTGTCGGAGTCTACAGATGTGTCTATTTCGCACGGTCGGAGGTGGAGGCACTAAGTCAGGCGCGTAAGTTCGGTAAGACCTGCTTACATGGCGTCAGCGCGCTGTTTACACGCAGCAGCCTGCTTATGTGGTGACGACAGGATGGCCGACCGTCGACGTGCTGCTTTGTGATGCAGCCACATCCAGCCTCTGACGCTTGGCGTCCGGCGGGTCCATACTACTGCAGAAGTTGGTGGAAGGTGCAGAAAGTAATGAGATGGGATGGGATAAGTATCGCATAACACGCAGAACACGGGATGCAACAACATAGAACGCGGAACAACGTAACACAACGCGAGAACGCGAAAAGGCATAGGAGCAACGTATGCATGCGTTATATTAACGCAAACCGACCTGGTGGTCAGCAGGGTGCGACCTCACAAGTTGTAAGACTTGGAAGGTTCCAGCCGTTGCCGCTTGGTGTCCGGTGAATCCATCTGTCTGCGAGCAACAGATAATCGGGTGAAAGCAGTGCAGACACTTAGCAAAGTGCAGCACGGCTATATCAACGACCAAGGTTGTGCAGCACAAAAACGCGGAGCTGCGCAGCTTTAACACGGACCGACCTCGTAACGTGCAGGAGGTCCTGAGGCAAATAGGTAGGAGTAGATAGGCTTGCAAAGACATGCATCTGAAGACAGCAGGATAAGTAGGGAGGAATCGGCATGCTAACAATTATACAAACCGGGGCGGTGTGTCGTATAGATGACAGAAGTCCGAGGATCGGCAGATGCGGACATTGGACGTGCACGTGCGGCGGCTGAGAGGCTGGTCCAGCTGCCAATTCGTGTGATTGCGGTGGCCTTTAATGAGTTCGAAGCAGAAGTAAATTTATATAGCAAAGAGAGACGCGGTTAAGTGATGATGCGGATTGGTGCCAATTCGTGTGATTGCGGCCGCGTTTAGTCAGACCGAAGCAGAAGTAAATGCAGGTGAAGACGCGGATAGCTGAAATTTCGCGTTAACGAAATGTTGTACACGCACAAGGTCGCCGCAGCGGATTTGTCACGGGTGCAGTGCAGTGCGGTGCGGTGCGGTGCGGTGCAGTGCGGTGCGGTGCGGTGCGGTGCGGTGTGGTGCGGTGTGGTGCGGTGCGGTATGGTGCGGTGCGGTGCAGTGCGGTGCGGTGCGGTGCGGTGCAGTGTGGTGCGGTGCGGTGCGGTGCGGTGCAGTGCGGTGCGGTGCGGTGCGGTGCGGTGCGGTGCGGTGCGGTGCGGTGCGGTGTGGTGCGGTGCGGTGCGGTGCAGTGCGGTGCGGTGCGGTGCAGTGCGGTGCGGTGCAGTGCGGTGCGGTGCAGTGCGGTGCGGTGCAGTGTGGTGCGGTGTGGTGCGGTGCGGTGCGGTGCGGTGCGGTGCAGTGTGGTGCGGTGCGGTGCGGTGCAGTGCGGTGCAGTGCGGTGCAGTGCAGTGCGGTGCGGTACGGTGCAGTGCGGTGCGGTGCGGTGCGGTGCGGTGCGGTGCGGTGCGGTGCGGTGCGGTGCGGTGCGGTGCGGTGCGGTGCGGTGCGCGGTCCTGAACAAAAACAGAAAAATGAGTGGGCACCAGGATCGAACCTGTGACCGCGGCTCCCAGTCAGCGTTGGAGCTAGCGCACACCACAAGCGGTGCACGCCGATGCTCAGGCACATTACGCTGCCTCAGGTGTGGTTCGGTGCGCTGCAGTGCAGTGCGGTGCGGCGCGCATGACAAAGTGGTGCGCCCCGATGCTCCGGGGTGCATTGCGCAGGCCCAGGTGTGGTGCGGTGCAGTCCGAGATGATGCGGTGCGGTGCGTGGTCCAGAACGAAAAGAAAAAAAAATGATGATGACGGGAAGCGAACCGGCAAGCTGGACTCCCACGTGGTGACGAAGCTAGTGCTCCCTAACGAAAAAAAGAAAAAGATGCGCTGGCGCCGGGATCAAGCTGGCGACCGCGGCACCCACTCGGTGTCGGAGCTAGCGTGCACGATGAAGTGGTGCACACCGATGCTCGGTGGCGCATTGCGCGGCCTCAGGTATGGTGCGGTGCGGTGCAATCCGGTGCGATGCGGTGCGCGATGATGATAGGAAACGAACCGGCGACCGCGGCTCCCACGCGACGATGGGGCTAGACGACGGGGCTAGCGATAACGACGCAGCTCCGAAACCGCTATATATACATGTACATATATATGTATATGTATATATATACATGTATATATATGCATATATAGATAGATATATATACATGTATATATATATATGTATATATGTATACATGTATATATATATACATATGCGCATATATGCATATGTATGTATATATTTCAAATACTTTAATATCCTCTATATTATAATATAGGGCGGTTATCGCCTAAGCACCCACCCGCTCACCCACCCCGGTAACCCTCCCTTCCACAAACCACTCACCCTCCCTTCAACCGTTCCATGATGTATGAACACTTTCCTGTGCGTCGTACACGTGCTGTTGCAACACAAACCACGTGTGCATTCACATGGTTAGTTCAACTGCCATCAAGCAACTGCTCTAAACTGCTAACAACTACTGCTAACTGCCACTAACTAGCGCCGGACTACGTATCATACCTAACCCGTCACACCCTGACGGTTGGTGTAATGAATCTGCACAGCAGCAAACACATGCACACATGCGTTTGCGTGTGATGTGTGTATGTGTGCGGTAAGGGGGGCCGTACATATGTGTGTGTGTGTGTCCGGTAGGGGGTTAGGGGGAAGCCGATCAAGGACCAAGATTTGGGTTGATTGATGCACGACAGTGGCAGCAGTAGCAGATTTGAACCTGACATCGTGTTGTGTGTGCGTATATGTATGTGTATGTGGTGGGGGGCCGTAACACGGAGGCTAGATGAAAGAGCCTCAAGGCTCTCACTCATCACTCGTCAGGTTGTGGGGTTGAAAGCTAGCTTCCGGAAAAGAGGCGAGTGGTGCTCACTCAGGGACGTGCGGGAGAAGTGGGAGAGCAGCTCATGGAGGCTCGTGGACAGCGACATGATCAGCTTCGGGATGGGCCCCAGGGAGATGGGGGAAGGAACGGACAAGTTGGGTGTCGGCTTCAAGGAAGCCGGAAAAAGGGCGGGGCCCCTCTGCATTCGTACAGGCCGGTAGCAAGGGTGGCAAGTGTGACAATTGATGGGTAGTGTCAACGCGGTGGGAGATGTGCTTTGTTGCAGCAGTGCTGATGGTGTGAGAGCTAAGCTTGCACCGGCGGAATCGTCAGCACCGCCTGCGGGCTCCACGCGAATCGCATCCATTCCGGGTGCATGCCGCATGGACAGTGCGGCAGACCGCAAGTCGGAATGCCCGTGCGGGTAAATGGTAACGAAAGCTGGGTGAATTTCGGTGCTGTCTGTGATGTTTATCCCAGCGGCCTCAGCAATCCGCCCCACAGCCGCGGGCTTGATCGGGGCACACCGCAAGTCTCAGGGGGCCCCGTGCATTGGCCAAAGTAAATGTACAAACAAGCAGCTTGTGTATTTCATAGAGAAATGAAAGCAAAGTATGTTGGCCTGCTGGTGGCAAGTCGGATTGCCCATGCCGGCAAATGGTAACATAAGCTGGGTGTTCAAGTTATCATACGCTGTCATCTCGGAAATCAATTATGAGATACACGGCACCTTTTGAGATGAAATTTAGCCCGAGAGGTGTTGATGTGACTTTTGAGGTCGGTGAATGGAGGCAGCTAAACTTGTTTGTGTTCATACGGTCTTTGTTAGCTACATGCGAGATACATTGCAATAGAGAATGCTGTATAGTACCTATAACGCGTTTCAGCCGGGCGAGATATTATGTTTGGTCCGTTGCAGACACACACACACACGGACATGGGCAATCCTACAGGTCGGGGCCCCCCTGGGCGCTTCGCGCTGGGGCCCCGCCCAAAAAACAAAACGTGCTGCTACTTGGATCTGAAACCGTACAGGCGTCATTCCATTTGCATGCAGCAGGATTGTTATATATACATATGGGTACTCGCATTGTCAAATTGTCGTATACATATACGTATTTTAAACATATTAAGCTTCATCATTCTTAGGGTTTTAAATCCAAAGTTCAGTCCCCGAAGGTTTGGCGGCACAGGTGAAACCAACCGTCCGCTAACCACCTGCTAACCCCCATCCGGCAGCATACCACGCACAATCCTAGCTGATGATGTCCCTTTCCGCCCGCATATTTTATCCCTCCTGCCGTCTACCTGCCTGACCTACTTGCCTGCCGTACAACCTTCCTGCCTATGCACCCCCGGGCCCCCGAGCCCGCCTGGGCAAGACACTCACTCCCCCAGTCACACATACACACACACACACAACTTCAAGTAGTGTGAAGTACACACTATTTCATCATAGCGCAACATAGCCCTGCATAGCGCTAAACAAACTACCGGAAGGCCACTGCACTGGCCATGCAGCTCTTCAAACATATCCTTCCTTCATGGGCATGTAGAGGTCGCCGCCAGCGACTTACACACATAATTTTCTCCGCGTGTCGTTGCTAACGACGTTTTCCCTTCATAATGACTGCGGTGCAGAACACCGTACGCAGTGTGGTAGTGTGTTTTCGAGCAGTTCCTGATAGTCCGGGGGAGGCACCTGCAGCGCCATTATCAGCGCCATCCGGCTCCTCAGCACACACCACCCAAGTACGATGTAGCTATGGAGCACCCAGCAACAGCGGCGGCCGCCCAGCCGCCGGGTCACCGCTACCTGCAGTACTCCCCTCGGCGCCACCCCGCCCTGCGACCGTCATCGTCATCGTCGCCGTCCCCCCCCCCTGGTCCTCATGCCCCGCTCCAGCATCCCTAACCGCTACCGTTACCGCTACCGGCTGCGGCTCATTCACGGCAAATGTCGTTCCCCGCCCCGCCTCTTCAAATGCTTCGACAGATACATGATCAAGCTCGTCCGGCCGCCCCGCTGGTGGCGCCGCCGCCGCAAGCAGGGCCGTCAGCTGCTGGACAAGCAACCCCTCCTCAGCCTGCGCCTCCGCCACGTCCGCCGGCAACGCCGCGTGCGCCGCCGCCAGCACTGCCAGGCGCGCCTGTAGTCCTGGCGCGTCACGCACCGCCGCCCACGTGGACGGGTACGACGCCAGCTGTATGAGCGCGCTCAACGCCGCTTGCCGCATATCACTTGCTTCCGCGGCGCTGCCGTCGTTGTCGCCGTCTGGCGCGGCGTGCAGCTCAAGTTCGGCGACGAGCGGCGGCAGGGCGCCGCCGGCAACGGCTGCGGCGCAGTCTGCACGCCGCTGCGTGAGCATGTAGGTTAGCAGCGTCATGGCCTTGCGGGCTATCCGCCGGTCAGCGGCACCCAGACTGCCCACCAGCAGTACCAGGCCGCCAGCCTCGCGAAGCGCCTGGACCAGGGGAGATAGAGATCAAGAGATAAAGTGTTGGGTTTTTAAGGGCCAACATTACGATGGAAATTACACGCGTGCATGCGTGTGTGTGTATGTGAACTAACACGTTGCAACTACTAACCGCTTGATAACCCTGCCCTTTATAACCCCTGCATCCTCTTTCCCTTCCCCCCAAAGCATCACATCTCTCCCACGTCTGCATCCTCCTCCCCTCAACCCCCCTTTCATCTCCCTCCCCCCTCCCCTCCCCCCTTATCTCACCTCCAAGCCGGGTCCGAAGTGTCGTACCAATCCCGACAGTGCCAGCAGCGCCTTGGTCCGTACCGTGCCATGGGGCTGGGAGGGAGCGGCGAGGTCAAGCAGACGCGGCAGCACACCTCCGTCCAGGAACCACTGCGACACAACAGACGGCATACATAGACGGCACGAGGGGTGTGTGAGAAAGGAGGGGCATGAGAGAGGCAGACAGCGACAGTACGGCACCATGTGCTGCCTCCGCGGGTCGCCCGGACACAGCCAAGCTTAGCTACCATTAGTACGGCAGCTGTAGCAGCAGCAGCTGTCGCTGGGAAGGAAAATACCCCAAATACTTGCAACTGCATGTACTTTCATTACAGCGGTGAACCACAACAACAGCAGCCCCTACCTGCTGTACGGGCGGGTTGTTGGCCACACACGTGGCGACCACCTCGGCTGCCCTCCACTGCAGGGAGGGCTGGGGACTGGCCAGCAGCTCAAGGAGCACCGGCAGCCCGCCGATCTTGTGCAGGTCTGCAGGGGGGACATTTGCAGGGGGGGGCGTCTTTGATGACGCAAAGATTAAAACAAACATGAAAATCTTAACGCTAGCCCGATGCCCCGGACAGTATACGAACTGGTTAAGCGGTGGCAAGGTAATAGGGGTGTACGAATGCGTGTACGAATGCATAAATGGATATATGCGCGTCAGGAGAAGTGTAGGAACCAAGGAACCCTATGAACGGCTGGACTTGGGAGAAACTTTTAGGGGCGTGAAGGAAGAACGAGGGGGAGGAAGGGGGGCAGAAAAGCTCGTACGGTCCCTTTCCTCTCCCCAACCCAACCCCCGTACGCCCGAGCTTTCTCCTTGTTTCTCACAACCTTGGCCGTCTAGCCGGGTGGGTTGTGTGGGTCGGTCTGGTCAGGGGCGTGTTAGATGGGGAGCTTGGAGGTGCACTTGCATGTCAGCTAACAGCATGTCACCAAACAAACCCGCAAAAATTAGTTGTCCATCACTTTCGTCGACAGGTCGGCACACAACATCCTCCCTAACCCCCCTACCACCCTACCTCCCTTACCTCCTACTCCCCTACCTCCCTATCCCCCCTACCTCCCTACCCCCCCTACCTCCCTACCTAGCATCCTCCAATAGAAAAATACAAAATGTATCTCAAAAACGTTGTCATAACCCGCCGCCGCTCACCTCGCGCGTAGTCAATGGATGACACGATATCCATCAGCTCCTCCAGAAGCGCCTCCCGCTCCTCCAAACCGGCACCACCACTGTCCCCAACATCACCGCCCGCGGCAGGACCCTGGTCAGACTCCACTCCGGCTCCGCTCGCGGAGGTGTCCTTCTCTAGCGCTGTCTTAATCTCCTTCATCCGTGCCGAGAAGTCCACCATGTAGTGTTTGAGGACGTCGTCCAGCCTGGAGCGAGAGAGGGATGGGGGGATGGATGGAGGGACGGAGGGAGGGGTGGAGGGAGGGACGGAGGGATGGAGGGAGGGAGGGAGGGGAATCACACTGTCCGTGTCCAAGAGGTCCGAAACTGCCTAGCGAGTGGCGATGAAGCCACATCGAGCCGTGGTTTCGGAGGACCAGGAGGGAGGGGGGAGTGCAGAATGGGAGGAGGAAGGGGTCGGGGCCGATACAGGGGTCTTTGAAAGGGGGGGGAAAGGAAGGAAGAGGGCAGGACGAGCAAATAACCCAGATGTCGTGCCACAGAAACGTGGCCGTAAATCGAAGGGGTTGTGTTAACTGTACGAGAAACGGATGGGCAAGTTGGAGGAACACACAGCTTGGGGAGTCTTCTTCCGCCGCAGGTGAAGAGAGCGGGTGGGGGAGTCAAGATAGTAAAGACATCACTGCCAAGTGACGACCTGGTGAAGACCGAATGAACCGTGAAGTGTCCGCACTACACGCAATGGGAGAAACGTGTGGATAGCAACATTGCACAGTTGGGTGGGCGGGGTTTGGATGGTCAGCCAGAAGGGTGGGGTGCATGGGGATGAGGGGGGCTCACAGTACGGCGGCGGGGTCCTCTGGACTGAGGTACTGGGAGGGGGCCCTGTGGTGTATGGTTCTAGCGTGAAGGGGCAATGGGCAATGGGAAGGGTGGGATGGGGCGACGCACCATTTCATTTTCTCAGGGTCGACGTCCTCCGGTCGAAACCCGCTGGGGCTGGTGCCGTCCGCGTACTTGAGGCTCCAGTCCCAGAGGCCTGCATACGCAACCAGCGCGCACAGATAAGACTAGTCCTTGAGCCCCGGGTAAGGAGTATCTATGATCATTTTGAGGCTGTTGTCGCATAGTATTTTATAAGACTTCCTGCCTCACGTTGGCGGCATGGACAAATGGTAGCGGCGTCCAATCTCCGGCTTTCGTAGAAGATCAAACGAATATGGCTGCCGAGCCAAAACTGATCCTTGGAGGATGTCGGAACGTACCTTTCCATTGTGGAAAACTCATCTCGCCTCAGCAGACCTTTAAATGCGATGGAAGCGATGCGTTGCGAAACGACGTCGACTTGCAGCGCTAGATTAGCCTTGACTATGCAATTATGTAAAAATTATGTTCCATACATATGACGCCTTAGTGTTGTTCTCGCTCCTGATAAGTAGTAAAACAATTTTTTGGCACGCTAACCAGTGGACCATCCAATTACCTTTACCACGGGCATGGATATCAATCCTATATCTGTTGTAACATGAAAGTAAGGACAACTTGACGCACGGAAAATAGATGCTTCCAGAATACACGTGATAGATCGAATTTCTAAAGCCAAACGTTTGTCAGCATGAGTTTACAGACAAATCACAACGAGACCTACGGGAACTCATCACGGTAGATGAAACCACGAAACACCTGCCGCAAGCTGCCGCTGCAGTCGGCATGTCGTTAACAGTTAATCCAACCGCTAAGTATCTAACATTCCACAGCAGCTGTGTCACAGCTGTAAGCATATTATGCTTTATAATGGTCTTTGAAAAACGTTGGCATGCCTGGGTGGAATCCACTTGTAACGCTTAGGTTTTAGCAGCCCAGCCCGCACCTGAACAACAATTTAAGAGCATGCACAGAGCTTGGATAGGCCAAACATCAACGAAAGTCTGAGCCCTATTACCAAAAATTCGCCTGGATCTTTAAATGATGATGCTTCAATAGTGCCCTTAACTGCAGGACTGCATGCCGTAGGAGACAGTTGGCGCGATTCCAGGTTCCAAACATTCGCAGCGATGCTTGCAGAAGTTATGCCAATCCTAATTGATATGCATAATAAGATTGATGCTCAAGCGCAACAGCTGCAAGGTTGCAGCTACCGTGATGTTGCTGTTTGTCAGCAGGTGGTCATGTAATCAAGCACTCCAGCAATTACTATAATCACTTCGGCCCCGCGGTTTCCTTTCCTGAACAACAACAAACCTGCTGTTTCTGTCGATATCTAATCCTACTAAGACAAAAATGCTGGCTTGGCTTGGTGGATCGAAGCGCAGGAGGTGGCACTCCAACAAACCCAGGAAGAAAGTCGCCACGAACAACAGTAGCAACAAGAAAGGTAGCGGCGACAACAGCGTCAAGCACCCTGCTGCAGCCTGCGACAACGCGGGCAGCAGCCGAAGCGGAGCCCCGTCCTTCAACCTCATCAGAATGGAACTTGGGTCAAAACCAAACTCCTATAATCCGGATAATCAACGACAACTTTCCAACAACTTCACAACGAACCGGGCCCAGATCGCATCGCTGGACATGTTCGCGCTGGCCGCTCCGGGCGGCACTTCCGCGGCGAATTCAGTTTGCAATCCTCACATCCAGTCGCACATGACCCTGTTACTAGACTACCATCATCAGCAGCAGCGGAAGCAGCATTCTTTGAAACAGCAAAGCAACGACAGGCTAGAACGCGAGGAGCAGCTGCTGGGTCCAGCCTCAAGTAAGAACCTACCTCATGCGGCAGCGCCGGAGGAAGAGGAGAACGAAGAGGAGGACGAGGAGGAAGAGAACGAGGAGCACGAGGAAAAAATTGTGCGTAGTGTAAGCACGTCCGAGATCCAGAAACCCAGATCGACCCAGATCAGAGAATTACTGATGGAGCAGGATCTGCTCTTGGGAGGATCCATTGGGTCAGCTGGGGCCCGCCACGCGACCAGACGGAGATTGGAACGTCCCTTGTATAACCCACCGTTGAGTTTGGATCTTCTGTGGCTTAGCTAAGGACAACTTCCAAGGTGGAAGTCTACCTGTTGTTGAGTAGGCGTTACACGTCATAGAAAAATCGCGCTATTGAGCTGAGCTTTCTCCTAATGAGTAGGATTTCAAATATCGCATGTGGAAAGGGATCTGATTGGGGACGCACGGCGGTGTGTCCTGGGTCAGAAATCGGCATGTAGTTGAGGTTGGCGGAGGGCAAGGTCGGTGGTGTTTCGGAATTGATAGCAACATTGGCTGCCGGATCTGGTGAAATGATTTGGGCCGGGATGATGAGGTGGGTCTTGTGGTGACTAGAATGCGGCTTGCTCTGGAAAGCTTCGATAAGCGGTGTCGGTACCTGCTACCAAGACGCAACAGCTTTCGGCGGGGCCATGTCAACACGCCCTTGTAGACGCACAGATTTCGCTTTCTTGATAGAAGTTGGCCCGGCAGCCAAGAATAATTCCTGTACACTTCGCTAATGTAAAGTTTAAGTTCGCCAGGACAAATACTCGAGTTTAACTTGCACAAACACATTCATTCTCACAGGCTTTACGGGAAAGTTTTAAAAGTTAGTTATACAGGACCGTTAGTTAGGTTTCCTAGCTCACACTTCGCGATCAGCATCATCGAGTTAGAGTCATGAAAATAGTGGCGTGCCCATGACGGCTTTATATGGTAATTAACGATGACTTCTTGTTTCCTTTGGTGAATTGCGCAAAGTTCAAACGCCTATCGATACATGGACCAGGTTCGAGCAGCGCTTATAGAGCTCCGCAGCACTGCCTGTCAGCCAGATCCTGCAGTTTTCGACGAAGCATGGCTCTCTGCAAAGCAAACATTGGACGAGTTTTGCGCAAGTCCCGAAAACGGACCCCTGGTCCTGGAGCTGCTACTCGCCGAGAGCGACACATCCATAATAATTAGCTTGAAGGAAGCAAGGCGAAATCATGCAGCATCAGGGGCTGGTGAGGTCTTTACCTTTTCACCATGTTCTTTCTCCTTGTACACCGTACTGACAGGGTCCGCAAGCGGTCTCGCGTTTAAAGTACGTGATGTATAGAATTGACTTTCGTAATTACATATGAACATTGGAATTACAAGAGTTTGAAGACCGTGGTTACGTCTTATTTTTCCTAGCCTGCAACACAGTACGGGGAACTCCACCTGTGACATCTTTTCGGGCCGCACCGCGCGGAAGCACCATTCCCCGCAGGCAAACGCCCCTCATGGCGCCTACTCCTAGCAGCACGTGCAGCAGCACACTTGAGCAATGCGTGGAAACAAGCACAATACCCTACAACCCGCGCCCAACTCTATATCACCGTACCCATCTTTTTCCCCGCCCTCAATAAAAATCCACCTGCACATTTCACCATGATTCCCAACATGATCCCCCGCGCAGCTGCAGCTTGACCCAGGATAACCCCGCTTCCACCTGAACCAACGGGTTGCATACACACGCAGCCCTTAAACCCCACGATGCCCGACCTTTTCCCCTCGTTCCTTCCCCCCTTTCTTTGCCACCGAATACTCCACCCCTACCGCAACCGTCCTTCCACCATCTCACCACCACCTCACCATTCCCCCCAGGCGCCGCCACTACTGCCGGCGCCACTCGTGCCAGAGTGCTCCGGTATCTAGAGTCCGTGCTGTCGGAGGGGGAGGCATGGCGGGCGGCGCTGGGCCTTATGGATTTGCAGGTGGCGGCAGCTGCAGGTGCAGCTCCTGGGGCACGGCCCCCGAGTGCTCCAGGGGGGACGGGAGCGGGAGCGGGAGCGGGGGTTCCTGCTGGTGATGGTGGGCGCAAGCTGGCTCGCCTAGCCGTGGAGATTTTCGATTTGCAACGAGAGGAGGACAAGTACGCGCCGGTAAGTCATCTGGACTAGAACAACCTGGAGTGGGTTGCGGTCGTGCGGATGGGCCCTGAGCCGATCCAAGTCAATCAAGTCGAGGCGAGGCGAGCCAACGGAAGGGCTATAGAGGCGCGTAGGCGGACGGGCTAGGGGGCTTAGGCGGCTTCCCGGACTGAGCTGGTCATGAGCTATAAGGCTTCCCTACGAACCTCCCTCGCCTCCGGGCCGCGTGTCGAGGGGTTCTAGGAGCTAACCCCCGGTGCAGGCTCAGGCTCAGGCTCAGGCTCAGGCTCAGACTCAGGCTCAGGCTCAGGCTCAGGCTCAGGCTCAGGCTCAGGCTCATATTGCAGCAACAACCCTCCTCTCCTCCCCCCTCCCCTCCCCTCACCGCACCTACTCGCTAGTGACGATGCCAGCCGTCCATCTTACCTCGCCTTCGTAGCTCCTTTTTCCCCTCTTCTTTGCCGCCTTTAACACTTACCTTTATAGAATACTACGGGTGGTTTTTCCTGCTGTTATTTCTTTCCCCAATTTTATTTTAGTCTTGGCGGCTAGCTAGGTAGTTTTCCGCTACATCTTCGTGACTACTAACATCACCACGAGCACGGCTTTTCGTTCACGTGGTTCATCTTCCCCCCTTCCTGGGTTTCGGATCTACTACTTAGGGCTGGAAGGGCCGTACGGATACGGATACGGCATACGTCATAACTGACTTCCCTTTTTGCGCCCTTTCGGCCCCTTCCCCCCAACTTTTCAAATGCGCATACATGTATACATACTTACATACATACATGCACGCACTTCCCAGGCTCGGCAAGCAGCGCTGTCCATCCTCTCCACCCTGTTGGTGCTGGAGGTGAGCGGAGCAGAGAGGGGAGAGAGGGGAGAGAGGGGAAGCCGTCATCAACAATAAAAAGAGGGTCGAAATAACAACAGAGATAAGAACAGATCTGATTCCAATAGGGGTGCGTTACATGAGCGAATTTCCGAACAAGTAGCTCAAGGGGAAACAGGAGTGAGGCGGGGGAAGTTCGTCGGGTGGGGTGGGGGCTGTCGGTTGCACACACACGCACACGCGCACACACACATACATACATGGAGAGGGAGAGAGAGCGCTTGTCCAGCTCACCGACCCAAGTTCGTTGATTCAGTTGCCACCACCACCACCACCAACAAGAACAGCAAGAACCCCACCACCCGGTTGGGCGACTTGAGCGCTAATGGTACGGCTACTGCTGCTACTGC